ATTATATTATATTACCTAAACTCTGAAATGGGTACCTACACTTAATTACAATTAATACCTGTCATTAAATGGAGATTCTTAATAGTTAATTTTTTTATGCAGTATTTAATTGATAAAAATAAAATAAGAAGCAAAAGTCAAATATAAAGTGATAAAACTGGTATTAACCGAAACCGAAACAGAAATTTGATAATTTTGAAAACCAAAACCAGAACAGGAACTGACATTTTGGATTTTTGAGAACCGAAACCTAGGCCCCAACCGATAAAATCTTATAGTTTTCCCCTGGTTTCAACGATTCAATACTAGAAAACTTGCCTTTGGTTTGACATAATAATATTATATTAAAGTTATTTTAATTTCGTAAAAACAAATTTCAATAAATAACTCGTATCTATAAATGTATCTAGACGATTGACATTGAATTTATTATTATAAATAATAATATATAAAATATGGAAAGTTCTATTCACTCGTATATACCTACGTGAAGAATAATTATTATGAATTATGTGGCATACAGCTGGTTAGTGGTTACACACGGAGCGATTCGAACGCACGCGTGCTTCCACATTATAATATACGAAACGATCCACAACACAATAAGACTTTGTTTCAGAAAACACTAAGGTTTTTGAAAAATGTATTTTACATAATTTCAAGTCAACGTCTGAACAACATGTTTGGAAAAAATTATATTTTTTTACTAGTTTTACTTATGTTGTCATTTCCTTAAAGTTCTTTACTCTCTCTCTGAAGCAGAATATTATTGGGAGTATTTCGATCAATAAAAATCAAATTTCAGACAAGACCTACTTATAGTTTATTATTCATGATTATTTAAAATTTAGATTAGTATATTAATATACTCGATAAAGTAGTAGACCAACATTTTACTAAGTACCAAGAGTAGAGTAACTAGGATTTTAGGGGTCCGTGGCTTATCTTTATAACATTTTAATAACCAAAAGATAATCCCTTTACTATTTTGAGCTGATCAATCAATTTTATTAATTATAATCTGAATTAGTTTAATTGCTACAAAACTCAAGTATCAAAACTTATCAAGGAACATTTAGATACCCTATAGCATAATTATAAAAATGTACCTAGTAGTAATAATTGTTACGTCATTCGACATTGACAGTAAAATATATGATGGAAGGGAGAGGGAGGTTTTGGGGTGGAGAAATTAAATTAAAATGTATGAAAATTAAATATTTTAAATAGATTATAGATACCTATTAGTTTGTTTTGCTTAAATGTGCAGACCGATCAATTAATTGATTAAAGTTGATTTTTAACAAAATATAATATCTCTTTCTATCGATATTTAGCTAAACCTCTAAGAGTATCTGGGCTCAAGGTAATTCTCCAAAAGTTCGTATAGATAAGATTAAGTTTTATATTGTTACGAATTAGTGGATTTAAAATGATTATCAATGATGGGCAAACGCAGTAAGATACCTATAAATTATAGTACAAATGTATGTATATCACACGAAACAAGTTATTAGGTAAATAACTGTATTAAAAATATTAAATTAGAATTGTATAGGTATAGAAATATCATTAACATAATGTTACATTAATTTTTCATTTCCAGGTGCCTCGGGGCCTGTGGCATTGGGCCATCTAGTTCGCTATACGCCACAGGTGGTACCTTTGTAAAGTGCCATCAAATCAATACCATACTCATCAATACGTCACAAATAAGTGTTTATTACTCCTAAACTATAATACTCCAAAATTCATCTTTTATAATATGATGATATCGAAGTTCTCAATATAATATTCTAATCAGGAAGACGGAATAAAAATACATGATTTCATAAAATAAAGTTCTAATTTTAAATAATGGTAACTATAAAAAAAATAGCGGAAAATATACTTTTTTAGAAAAATTTCGTCTTTGAACGTTATAGTAGTTTTTGTAATAATGAGTGTCTTACGTTAGACGGAACAACCGGTTGGCATATTAGCATTCCATATAAGTATATGAGCTTGAAATAAAAATACAACGAACTTCCCTTGTGAATATTATGTACATTGAAAATACATAGTTTAAAAAACTTTAGTGTTAGATCGCAACCTTTGACGGAATTTAACAGAATCGATTCTTCGATCGCGATGACTGTTCGCGCGTGTTAATTCCCCGTTTGAATACAGCCATCTCAAATAAACTCGTTTTTTATTTCGATTTGAGTGATTATTCATTTATTTACGAGCACGTTCGAATCACTATCGGTGTGTAACAAGCTATTGGTTACCGTGTTTCCGGTATATGTTGGCACGAGTAGGTCGAAAAACAAAGGAAGTTACTACTGTTTTCAATGAAATCGAACCAAAAATCTGGCTCGTTACCTATTTGGCGATCTATAGGTATGATAATTTATGATTTTATATTATTGACATGACATCATTTTTAACTCGGACTATTAATAGGTATAGTAATATAATAGTTAATACCTACCTACCTACCTATCCAAAGATAGGTATTAACTAGTTAAAAAGAATTTCTTTAAGCCATTAAACTTAACTATGGTTGATCGATTTTCCACTTAATTAGAACTTAACACCAGGTATAGCTTAAATGACTGTTGCGTGAAATAACTTAGGTTTTTTTATTTATTTAAAAATAATCTCTCAAGTTAAAATTAAAAAATGTTTTTGAAATATTTGGGTTTAATGATTTCATGCATTAATTATTGTTGTATACTACTACAAGTTTTCATATTATTATATCGAAAAATAATAGGAACACTAAATAATACTAAATTTTGTGTTATGTTATTGTTAAAATAATATTATATACCAACTAGGTATAAATAGGCACAGTATACTATTTATGACGTGATTATGTATGTATGTATTTATTATTATTATTATTTATGTAGCTACTAGTTAAAAAAGTAAATGAGGTAAGTTGTTTGAAACTGAGTATATTTTCCTCTACTATATTAGTTTAACTTTGGATGGGGAGAGTGAAATAATTTGAATTTGAATTATGTTTAATTTTTCCAAGTAACGTTCTTGGACATATTATTTGTACCTCCATAAATTCAATGTCATTATTAGGTTTTTGATTGAAGAAAAAAATTATATTTTCTATATAAATTTATCCTTATTGTATTTGGCATTTTTACTTTTCTAGGTTTCTGAAGGACAGCATACATTTTTATTGTCATATTCCGCAGCGGAATATAATTCTGACAATAAATTTTAACTTTATAAAATTGAATTTTGGACGAGCTAGTAATATACAACAGGTAGCTTATAAGTTATAACTTATAACTAGTAAGTATATAAAGTTTTGGTGAGTTGAGAAGAGTTTTTGAGCAACCAATAAGTAATAACCTCCAATAATTCACATATATAATATTAAATATGGTCACCGAAAAATTAAACCTAGTGATCTCTGCGGTAAATTAATATGCTTACCTACCGTGTCATACATTTCTTTCACTATAAATTATGACTTATGAATATATAATTTCTATCGACTCATAGGAATAATCATCATAATATTTACTATAATTTCCTGATTGTCAATAATCCCTAATAATAAATAGGTATATGTGATTATACATAATATTAACAAAACAACTCATTTATCAAACGTGGTTGCATCAGTATTTATGGAAACATTGTACATATAATAACTTGTGACCATCATCAAAGTTGATATTAAAAATTTTACTTTAGTAAAAATTTTCAAATTTATTTTTGATATTATCTGGAAGAAATCGTCTTCTAGTATAATTTATTATTTGCAATGAATGTATCATTTTGTTTATAATCCGTTTCATTTTTATGTTACTTAACAAAATATAGTTATTTTTCTAATAGATTGTAACTCTAAAAGTAAAATAGGTATAAAAATATTCTAAACAGCACAAATTTGAGATACAAAAATGTTTGAGTGCACATTCAACAAATTATTAATAATCGGTATCCGTTTATGATGAAAAAAGAAAACGGTCACTCAGGAGCATTTTATAATAGTTGTAACTTATAAAGTTATAACTGTGATATGGGCAGTTAACACAGATAAACGTTTTACTGGTTTGGTATTGCATAGGTATAAGTATTAGAATTTATAGGTAGATCAAACTGTTAGAAGTTCAAAAAATAGAATCGAACTTAGATGTTTGGTTAGGGTTTGAAATACAATTATACAAACCTAGTTTAAAAAAAAAACGAAGCAAACTCGAATAAATTCTACGATTAATCCGAAATCCAAAAATGATTTACAATAATTATGAGGTTTTGACGTAAAACTAAAAATATTGATTCGTAATTTAGTTCTAAAACTCGGTTTGGATTCAGTTCGGTACCAAACGAAATGTTCGGTTCGATGTTGATTTAAATGTTTGCTTTGAGTTCGAGATCACATATTGAATTGTTCGGTTGGAGACCATATTTTTGAGTTAAACCCACCTGCACTAGTAGTGTTATAACCATAACAATATAGTACATCGGCACTAAAAAAAAAAAAATTGTATTATTTAGATAATTGATAATATTTATTCACGCGATGACGTAAAAAAAAAATAAAAAAATAATAAAATAAAACGAACTACAAGACGTATAATAACACTAATATTTCTTCTGAATATCATAATATTATTGAAACCACACGTAGATCATCGACACTGTGACACAAACGCATGCGCGTACTCGTGTACGCATTTTACCTCCCTTCCAAGCTCGTTTAGTACTTATTATTCGTTTGAAATAACGTATATAGGACAGGTACCGATCGCATTTGTTCGTAAATCGCTAGCGGCGGACGGACTGTCGAGTGGCGATCGCTCCATCAAATCAGCGAACCGGTGTTCGCGTTGGACCGGACGAAAAATTCGATTTAAAATAATAATAATAATAATATTATTAACAGTGACATTAATAGTAGTATTCATAATATAAATAATAATATTAACAGTGACATTAATAGTAGTATTCGTAATATTCTTAATATCCGCATTGGTAGTATCATCATGTCTCTCCGCACGTTGTCGCGGTCGGTTTGCGCGGCTGTCGTTTTCCTCGTCGTCGTCGTCGGGGTCCGATCCGGCGATCTCGATGACGGTCCTGCTAACCACGAATACCCCAAGACCTGGTTCGCGAAAATCTTCTACGAGACGCTGGCTGACTTCACCGGACCCACAGACGTGGGCAGTTCGGCGTGCCGCCAGCAGATGCAGATGTACGTCAGACACCTGCAAAACGAATCGCTGTGGGCTGTGCAGAGTCAGTACAATATATGATATTATTAAAATATAGAGGGTGTAACAGAAAGATATGACTATGACAGTTCAAAACAAATCAAAATTTTTTGAAAATTTTATCGTGTATAGAAAATGCAAATATAAACTACCAGTGAAAATTCCATGTATATAGGTACGTTCATTTGTTTTAGAGTTTAACCAAAAACCAAAATCGATTTTGTTATATCTTTCTGTTACACCCTATATATACCTCCTATCTACAGACTTAATTGAATATACCAAAAATATACGTCGAAACATTACTTGTAAATATTACTTTCAATAAGTATTCGCATAATACTATGTAGGTAGGTACCTACCGAGAGGCAGAAGGGACCAAGTCCAATATTGAATATCGTAACTTTTCGGGAGGATCAAAAAACCTTTTTTCATCTATTTTTATTTTACTTAAATGGCAGGTGTAAATTCAATTTAACGATTATACCAACGCGGTTAGTTTTAAATTATAGCCTATAATATTCTCAACAAGATAAATATTTTTTTCTTTTAATTATAACTTGCCTATAATTGTTTATTTTAAGATTTAAAAGAAATATTGTGGACTTGGATCCATTTTCTCAATCACGCAATGACTTGCACCCTATTGATATCTTTGTAAATTTTGATTATTTAAAAAAATATATTATATTATTATAATATTATATTATAACATTGATTGTTGTAAATTGTAATATAGGTAGGTAAAAATTATAATATTATAATAAATAATTTACAATTTTTAGGGATTAAGGTAATAGTAAAGTTACATTGTATTCGAGATAAAAAAATATAAAAATGTTATTATTTTATCAATTGGGTCCAAGTCTTTACAAGAATTTTGCAAAATGATCATGGACTTGGATCATAATTTATAATTCAAAATTAATATTTGTTCTTTTTGTTATTTCCCAATATCTCGGTGAATACACGTCATTGGGTTAAAACGAAGATAGGTAAAATTTCACATAAGAAAAAAACAACCTCAATTTTGATAAAAATGGACTTGGTCCCTTATATTATATTTACATTCTTTCCTAAAGTTACGTTAAAATATCTATAGAGTTTAAAATGTTGCGAATCTTGCAGGAAAATGTTCATTTTTCCCTATCAAATATATTGCCACAAAAATTTGTTAAAAATTGATCGATACATAAGTGTAGTTAATTATTATTACAATAAATATTACCTGCACTCGTATTACATAATATTATATATAAATCATCGAAAACATAATAGTCAATTTTAATGCAGCACTTTTTAATTTGGCGTCTGACATAATATAATATTATAATGTGGTGTACAATTAATAATAAGTGCATGGTAATTTAATATTATATTATGAACACTGATGAGCTGTGAGGTCTTACACGGAGACATCCATTTATCCCTTTAACTATGTTATGATTCATATTGGAACGAATCATCCTACATTATCAAATTTCAAAGTAAAAATATTATATATGTAAGTGCATGCAGGTGTAACGTCCACACGTCTTACACGTATAAATATAATATATTTATATACCTAAGTTTACCATAATATTTTGTTGCTAGGTATTCTCATTTGGTTTTCTTTTATTATAGGTATGGATTCGGTAATATTATCATATTATTATTGTAACTTCGTCAAGGTTAGGTATCAACCCAAAAACGCGCGTAAAAATATATACAATATAATTTATATAACTGAAATATAATATTATTATTATATCATAGTGAAATTTGTTTATTATTACTTATATTATAGTGGATCCATCACTAGAGTCCCAACAATTTTCCCCTCAAGCGATAAATGCTGGTGATGGGAAAATGGATTTTTTAACATGCATTTTTTGACTGTTAAAAATATAATTTATATTTATCAGATCTTAAACATTGAAAAAAAGGTCGTTACATTTTTATTATTACCTTATGAAATGTGTATTGACTATATTCGCATATACGATATGTATATAGGTATATGATATACCTGCCTATAATATGTCTAGGCTTCAATAAAACAAGTAAACCGGTAAAATCGAGTGCTCGACGTCCCTGAAATTTGTATAGAAAACGATGTTTTAGAATGCAACAACTAATAGAAGATCAACCGAGTTTATAACAACAACAAAATAAAATACGAGTGCCCCTAACTGAACAACTATTACTACTTAGTAAGGCATACCAATCGTATAATAATTACCAGCTGATGTAACCGGTGAAAAATTAAATAAATGCCCAATAATTCAACCCTTTTTAAACTCTGTTAAATTTATCATGCGCAGATTTTTATTGGCAAAAATAATTATCTGCAAAAAAATAATACTGAATTCGGTTTATTCTCTTCGCTCTCTAATATCTTCTATAACACCACACTTAAAGTTAGCCAGTCGTTTCTGTCCGTCAATTTTATCTCAAAAGACCTTAAGTTTTGACAAAATTAAAGTTCGTTTACGATGTCCGATTTGAGTCTGAAAAAAAATTGGACTCCACAAGATATTGGTGATAGATCGTACGGAACACTTTGTAATGATTAAATCTTATACTATTGTAAACTGTAGTTAATTGAAAACTTAAAATTTTGAATTTTTTCAAATAAACTTACTCGTAGATCCTTGTTGGCTAAGACGAGATTAGAAATTGTCTAAATGTTACCCCTTAAATAAATAATAGCTGTAACGAGGCCTCTTTAACACCATAATTTTCAAATAAAGCTAATTTCATGTAGTCTTATAGGTACCATTAAAACATTGTCAATATCTAACCACTAGTTTTTATTTTTGAGTTTAAATAAAATCTGTACATTTTATATTATAAAATGCACATAGTTATCGCAAGTAGGTACTGGTTTCAACTATTTTATTTTACTCATGACATTCATATTAAAAAATAACTCAAATTGTTACTATACCCAGTTGCCAAATATACCGAACTTCTTATTCGTAATTTAATCATACTTATTTAAGTTCCATTTGTTAATTTTCTAATGTAGAATTTTTTATATGGTAGCAAAAGTACCTATCAATACCCCTCAGTGGTTCTATAAATAAATTATGTGAGTCGTCGATAATATTCAATATTTATGTGTTAAAAAGTATGAGTACTATTAATGCAAAGTATCTATTATGATTTATGACACTACAGATCTCGCTAAATGTATAAAAAAATTTTTGAAATCGGGCGAAAACAGTTAATTTGAATTCTTTTTTACGCTTTCGGTTCTTATAGGAAATATATTTACTAATTATTACTGAACCTGTTCGGTCCAAATTGAATAATTCCAGTGAACAATAATATATCCTGTCTTAAGTTTCGTCAAATGTAACTAAATTCTAAACATATTTTTAGCACATTTTGACCAAAAACATTGAATACCTACCGGTCGAAAAATCGAACAAATTTTTCATTTGTGAGGTGTTTCAGCTACAACCTGTATAATATAATATGTATAATATGAATATATATTTAAAATATCGTTGTATAAAATATACAAATTTTATGAGCAGTGTCCGATTCGTGGAGTCGGTATCCAAATGGCATACTCGTCGGAACTTCGCACCAGATGGGCGTGTACGAAGAGTGCGTCAAAGTGCACAAGCCCGTTAGGGGTAAATACTGTATACCATCCGTCAAGATCAGCTCATCTACCGGTGCCGATTTTACATCTGGAAAAACCGACCAACTACACAGCAATGACAACGCCTGGCAAGAGGTACTCGGGGTGAGTACCTACGATATTATATTATATGAAACTACGAACACACGTCGATATTATTATTATTATTGTGACGGAAAGAGTGGCATATTGTTATGATTGCGAACTTGGGATACAATCCCTCGAGTGTGTCCCCCGAAACAACTCTTAAATTAGGGGTGACCTGACATCAAACATCCGGCCTTACCAGGTGTACCTATATACATATCCTGTGGTGTATATAAATGTCCTGCTGATATAATATAGGTATTTGGTACGTATTCTATAGGTACATGGTTTTATTATACCCGTGGCACTTTTTCTTTACAATTCCATCAATCGTTTTCCATCAAAAGATCTACTATGAATTTACTTAATTAATAAAAGTTTTTCTGATAATTTCGAACGTATATAATATTATTATATTCTTTGTTCGACAATCGCTACCCACATACATTTTCAAAAAACCAACCAACAATTAATACCTATCTAATCGTGATAAACTTTAATCAACGGTTTTTGTAAATGTTTTGTCTTAAAATAACACATAATATACGATATGAGACTAAAACTGTATACAAAATGGGGTGAAAATCGTCTGTCATCGTATCCTCGACGAATAAATTTAATAACATTATTGCTCTCCGTAGCCTCCCGAGGCCCATCACTTATTTAAATTTTGTAGTACCACAAGCCCAATGTCTATTTCAATGGACATTATCAAACACATGTTTACCCTTCCAAATTATCAATATTTTAAGGTTAAATTGACATAAGTATTATATAAACAACAAAATTTGGAGGGCTTTTGTGGGGATAAGAGAAAATGTAAACTATAGTGGACAATGGGTTTGTAAAAATGCAAAAATAAAATTAAGCTTGGGCGCTAAAGCAGTTATAATAATTGTCCATTGTAATGGACATTGGGCCTCAGGTGGGTAGATACAGCCATGGCGCCATGATATAATATATTATTATGTCGTAGATGTTGATATTAATAATAATAATAATAATAATAATAATCGAACGGACAATGATATTATTCATATCCACATTATTGATCAATCTCACCGTTATGGTTTCGTGTTGTTCAGTTTGTAAATCGAGACATCCGACTGCACAGAAATATCGTGAAATTCGGCATTTGCATACCGGAATCTTGTACAGCTGCTGACCTCCAGGTTACGCTGCAAAAGGAATTCGACACGCACTTCCTACCGCACCAGATCAACGCTCAAGTCAAAGTTGACTCGATATTGTGTTCGACGGACAAGGACGCGTATCCGTACGAAACTGGATACTATTTTACCAGGTAACTGCGAACACATTTGATATTAATATTTTATTCCTGTATTATACCTAATACCGTATATTATATTATATTATTTTCATTGTATCCGCTGCAATTGCCGAGCCGGCGATAAGCTCATATGGGAAAAACACCGTTTTATTAAGTCGTATTGTTGAGTGTCGAGATGTAATAATTGTTAAATTAAAATCTCAATAAAACAAAAAACAAAACAACTACGAACATCGACATTACCTATGTATAGTATTTAATATGGTTTCCCATTTTTACTACACCTATTGTAATAGGCTATACCAATTATACTATAATATCACAACTTTTGGTTCCCGTAAGAGGGTCCAATGCTTACGACCAATAGATAGCGCTGCCATGACCATAATATAATATTATTATACAATAACCGACGTAATGTTGGGTATAATATTATTATTATTACTATAATAGTCTCATCACTGGTAGTCTCGGCATTTCAAAAACAACTAGACTCTGGAGTTCATATTTTTAACACTCCACCGGCTCGGTGTGTGGCGATGTGTGTTAAACGTCATAATAATTTAATACTATAATAATATTATGCTTGGAGCTGGTTACATACCTCTTGTCACACTGTATCATGATGGAAACTTTTCGCAGCGACCTATAATAAATTATAGCGAATCGATGGCCTTCATTCGTACGTTTCTGGTTTCTCGATCGAGTTCGTACATCGTATTATGCTGTACCGGTATATAGGTATGGACCAGGTATAACGAGTTGCCGATCTAACGGCGCAACATGGCCGTTGTTGTCATCGTCATGGTCATATTATTATTGTATCCACCATCCGGAAACAGCACCGAGATACTACATAATATTATATTATTGCTAGGACTTAGGACTAGGATTTTTAGGTTGTACAAAATAGTATAGTGTGCATTTTTTCGATGAAAACAAGACAATAGGTACTGATAGAATCAAATTTATCTGTGTAATACTATAATATGTAGCATCTATAGACTTAACATTAATTCCATTTAAATAAAGGTATCATGCATTTTAGGTAGGTAAGTACATAATATACCTATTGAAAAATGTGCAAAATAAAATCTTGATCGCCTGTATCATTTTTACGTGAGTGGTGGACACTGGACATACTACTAAGAACATTTTTAAAAGAAAGCTGCGAAAAAAAAACCCCATCAATGCAAATAATAATTTTTCTTTAATCTTTATAACTTATCTGCCTACTTAATTTTTAAATAACTTAATGACTTAACTAGCTCTAGTCCCCATTGTACTAGGTAACCCAGCTTTTTCCGGTTAATTTGGAAAATAATACATTAAATTAAAATCATGTTTATAGGTAAATGCTTATAGATATTATATAATATCTATAAGTAATACATTATAACAGTAGGCATATTATTATATTTTTTTTAATGTTCAAAACAAAAAAAAATTAAATAAATATATATGCTTTGATTGGCATAAATATTGTTCAGTTGACTACCTAGATACTAAAGTTAGTGTGTTAGCTAAGGAATATAGTAGAAAACATTTTTAACAATATTAGATATATGTGAAGTTAGCCCCCCAACTTGGTTTCATTTTCACAAATTACATTGTAAGTTAAAGTACTCTATTTGTAAGTAAATGTAAGTATATTTTTGGAATTTGTAAGTTCATCTGACCGACGTAACCACCGTTTATAACTTGGAAGCATAACTCCATACTGTATCATAACCTTGACCAATTTTCGGACACTATATTTTTCAATGGCTGTACCTTGGCAGAAAAAAACGATTTACTCTAAGTCCACTGGTTTTTTTTGCTTGAGTATATAATTTTTATCAAATATAGATTTTTTAGGGTTCCGTACTGTAAAACGGAAGCCTATTACTGAGGCTCCGCTGTCCGTCCATCCGTCCGTCCGTCACTAGGCTGTATCTTATGGACCATGAAAGTTAGAAAGTTGAAATTTTTACAGATTATGTATTTCCGTGGATGCTATAACAACAAAATATACTAAAAATCCTTTTTTTTTTTTTTATTCTTTTTTTTCGAGTTAATCAAGGGACGGAAGAGGAACCGCGTTAGCATTACTTCTCCTCAATACTGAAAATCCTAGAATATAATATAATATAAGCAGTGTTGCCAACATAGCTGATAATGGCGCGGAACCCTTCGTGCGCGAGTCGGACTCGCATTTGGCCGGTTTTTATATAATACTATATTTTTTATTGCGGTTGTTTTATTTATATTTATATTTATTTAGATGTTTTATTGAATCAAAAGTTTTTATATTGAAATTCGATTTATAAAAAAATCAATATTTAATAGACAATGATATTTGATAAAAAAAAAATAAATACTATATTTGAAGTATGGACTTTATTAAATAATAAATATAGATTATTTATTGTCAAATATTTATTTAATATAAAATATAGGTTTTTTTATAAATAGAATTTCTGTAAAACATCTATATTTAATTAAAATGTTTGATTGAATAGAACATCTCAATAAAATAAAACAAATATAAATATAAATAAAAAAACCGCAATAAAAATATAACAAATTATATAAAGAAATCTGTTGAATAAAAAAAACTCGCGATTAAAAAAAACAAATTTATAATTAAAATAAAATCTATTATTATTGATAAAAATGTTATATTCAATAAATTAAAAATTGATTGAATGAAACAAATTTAAATAGAAATAAAAATAATTAATTTTACAATTTAAAAAATTCATATTTAAAAAAAAAAAATAATAAAAATAAAAGTAAAAATGGATAAAAAATTATTAAAAATGTAAATAGTAATTTTATTGAATAACACATATCGAAAAAAAACAAATTTAAATTTAAATAAAAAATAATCGGAATAAAATATCTATAATATTTCATAAGAAATCTATATTTAATATATTATAATCTATATCTGATAAAAACAAAAATTATTAAAAAATTATTATCAATGAAACGTCCTAGCACAAATATATAGTTCCAAAGCTCGCCCGCCGTGTTGCAGGAGGTCTCCGCGCTCGCCGGATCCGCCAGGCGATGGTCTCGAGTGTCGAAAACCGCGCGCGAGCTCGTCTTTTCGCGGAGTAGACCTGTGCAAGCAACGTATAGAGGGCGACTATTACCACCCGGACACAATTTGAAGACTTTGGGGCAACAACGAGACATGTCCATGTTTTGGTCAAAATCCCTTTTTCCCGTCGTAAAATATAAAAAAAAAATCTGCATCGATTGGTGTAACAATGAGACATGTCCGACTGTTATATATGGAGTTATAATATGTCTTGTTGTTGTGTTGGTGCAACAACAAGATATGTCCAGAAAAATACATATTAAATAAAAATTTAATTTTGGTGCAACAACAAGATATGTCCAAAAAAAATTTAAATACTGTGCAACAACGAGGCATGTCCAAGCAAATTTGCATTACGGTGCAACAACAAGATATGTCCAAACAAGTTTTTATTGCTTCCTTAACTTACTATCAAAAGTTAAGCACTATCTACTAGTGCGTAATATGTTGTATGTACCCTATAACTAAAATATACTATTTTTTAAAAAATTCTAAATTTTTTTTTTTGGAATTTACAATGTTTTTTTTGTCTCTTGAACAATTTCAAAAAAAGGACAAGTCTCGTTGTTGCTCCAAGGTCTTCATTTGCTCTTTCACGTACCACCCCCCCCCCCCCATCGTTTTTCTTGTCTGAAGTTCCTCGGCCGAGGTGCGGGGACGGGATTCTGCTGACCGTTATTCCCATCGGTGGCCGCAGCAGCGGAACAGGCGTCCGGCCTGTTTTATGTCTACCCACGCCTTGGAAGTGCGCCTGTCTTCCGCTCGACCACCGGAACAACAGACACTGTACATTCCATACATCCGGTTTCCCCGCTGTTCGCCGACGTTCTGTCGTCGGCCTCGGCCGGCTGCATCCCGGTGCAGTCCGTTTCCGGTCTTCGCATGGTCGCCGAGGTCCAGAAGTGCAGCCCGTCCAAGCTGCGGTTCGGACTTCCCGCTGGACTGCACTTCTGAAATCTCCTCGTCTTGGCCGATGACGGCCGCGCTGACCACCGACACGACGTAGTCGCCCAAATCAGCTTCAACGAACTCCTTCTCTCCGTCGTCCACGACTTCGGATTCGTAATCTGTAGAGTAAAGGAGTTCAATTTTGGTCACTAGAGCTGCTACTACGTCCATCACGGAAACGTCGAAATAGCCCCTGAGGATCTCGTCGTCGTATTCTCGTAGCATGATGGTGTGGAAAACTGTACGTGCAAAATGTTATGATCGCAAAACTAGACTATTGTCCTAAGGTGTCGGCGAAAAATACAAATATTTCCCAAACGACGTGTGCCGAGTTGTTATTATTCTGGCCAGCACACGATAATATTATGTTCTGATCGGTCGGCGTTAAGATTTCGGGCCTTTTTAATTTTTTCAAATCCGTTACTATTGATACCTATATAATATTATAATTTATACGCTTTTAGGTATAATAATATATTATATTAAAATATTTTAACGAGGATTCGTATTTCGATTTTTATTTGGTATATTATATATTATATATAATATATAGTCGATATTTATTTGTTTGTGGAGCGATGAATGTCAATCATTGATTTTAAACGATGTGCGTTCTTTTGCGTATGCTTACACGATTTATATAATATAATGATACGATCTCAAACGTTGATTACTCTCTTAAGACTATAAGTCCTTACTCTATAGAATAGATAATAGTATAATATAGTATACATCATTAAGCAATCGGTGGGTTCTTAAATAAAAGTTTGGTCGTCATATATTTCAAATTACTTTTAATTCAAGTGTTCCGTCTCAAACTTTAACATTTTTCCACGACCTTCCGTCGAATACGAATAATACGCATTATATTGATTGTATAATATAATTTAATATTGAAATTAGTTTCGCAGACCGAACTACTTAATAAACTTTACTACCCTCGTGCACATATATCTTATGCACAGGAGTTGTGTATTTATAATGGGTCAAGAGTCTTAGTTAGCTAAGTCTTTATATAATATATTATCTAGTTGTATAGGTAAATCTAGTACGATAAACCATAAGATTATCGTTATCGTTTAGTGTCATGACTCATGACTATAATATATTGTAATGAATTTATAACTGTTGTGTAACTTTGAGGCTAACTAAAGTTGAACAAACTATTTATAGTTTACTAAAAGCTAAATTTTAAACATTTCTTTTTTTTTTTAAATGTTTCTAATAACATAACTTGTAATAATTACTAAAACAAGTAAATTTTAAGCAATACTAAGGACAATATATCGACAATAAAAAATCTTTAATGATTAATGGCCTATACTCTATATCAGATACCTGTTGAGTACCTATACCTTTATTATATGTGGCTACTATTTTATACTAATCGGATTATTATTTTTTGGTTATTAAAGTTCACTAGTTGGATTCTTTGTCTTGATCTGCTGCGTGTCGACGGCGTACCATATGATGGTAATAATAAGGACTGACAACGGGAAAAAGAGTAAGTAAAATATGTTTTAAGTAATATTATATTTAACGAATTTAATTTATAAGCTAAGAATAACACTCTCGGGGCCAATCTAATAATAAACGTTTAACTGTATAATACCTATTGTCAGTGGTGCACACTCAAAAATAAATAGGGGTAGCAAATTGATTCGGTTCCCTCTATATTGGCTAATGGACTAATGGCTATAGCCTATAATTATTCAATAGTTTATTTTCAATATTTTTATAAGTAGTAGAATTTTCATGATGTAAATATTTTGGAGCCAGGGGGTCCACCCACCCACCTACCAAAAAAATCAGGGCTAGCAACTGCTACCCTTGAACCCTCCAGTGTGCGCCACTGCCTATTGTTATTTCAAACACTTCGTCACCTGCGAAGCGGTTAAGTTTTAAGTAAATCACAATATTGGAAGGGTTTTATGAGGAAGCTAACAATAGTAAATTTTCGTTGGTGTTCATTAGACACAAATATTCTTAAGATTATTATTTTTTCAGTGAATTTAATTTAATTTTTAATTTATGGTTGTATACGTTTTTTAGTATGTAAAAAAGCATACCTACTAATATTATTTACCTACGTCTACAAATTTTACAGTAGGTATAGTGGCAATTCTCGACTATATCATATTAATAAATAGTATTATTGTAGTCTTATGTTTTTCATTGCGTACTTACAGGTAAAATGCCGGAAGCATTTAACACGTTCTCGCTGATTCGGAACGGCAGAGATCTGATCAAGTATAACAGAAACAACGATCTGAACATATTCAACGGGCTAAAGGTTTTTACCATGATTTTGGTGCTGTTCGGACATAAATTTCTGTACTTCATAATAAATCCGATCACGTACTCGATGCAACTCGAAAAGGTAATATTCAAATATGATGCAAATATGTTGCGCGTGCGCGCAACGTGCATTTGCATCTATCACCTCATATCTATTTCTGAACTCGATTTATATTTATAAGCTTTGTGTTTTCGTGAACGGTTTTATTTTCTTGTTGCGTCTGTTTTCGTTTCATTATTATATAGTTGTACAAGGAAGGACCGGATTTCTTATTGACGTCCATGAATTTGATCGATCCGTTCTTTTACATTGCCGGCTATTTAATGTACGTCATGCTGATCCCACAATTCAACAAGCCCGGCACCAGTTGGTACCAGATACTTATGGTGATCGCATACAAATACATGAAGTACGTATCTATAACAAATATAACATATATTTTTTCATTAGGTATAACTACTGTAATTTATTATTGAGTTTAAGAAAAACAATAATAATATATAAGTTTATACTTTAATGCAACAGCCTGACTAAAAAAACCCTATCAGAGATATTTATTACTGTAGTAAGATATTATTATAACAGGGTGTTCATCTATTAAAAATTGAGACACCTAATACCTATTCATATTTCAAATAAATAAGTTTAATACGAGGGAGAAAACTGTATGATTTGAGTTTACGAGTTCCTTTGAGGGGGGAGGGGTCGAGTGTAACTTATTACATAAGCATCAACGTGGTCGTCCACAGATATTACCTAGGAGAGGAGTGGGGCAAACATAATTTTAAAAATTAATGACAATTTTTATAAAACTCTTAGCTTTAATAACATTTATTATGTATATTGTATATGTACATATTATATGTATATGTTTAAAATGTACGAATTATACATTATTACATTATTAAGTAAATATAAAAGCTTGGGCAAACAATTAATTATACCTCTGAAAGGGAATTGCTCTCCCACTCCCAGAGACGCCAACGAACATCAAGTAGGCTCAGAAAAATCCTGAAAACTGTGTATTCATGCAAACATTTATGTAATAAATGCAGTAAAAAATAAAACTTGATTTCGAAAAAACTATCACTATACCTATATAGGTAAACAGTAGGTACGTATACCGTAGGTACCTACCTATAATATTACGGTTCCTTTTATTTCAGAGGTATCGTGATATCGTTTAACTGTACACTGCAACGACTATTTTATGTTATTAATATTACAATGATTATAATTATGATTGTTCTTGGACAGGGTTTTACCATCTTACGGGATTGTCATGCTGATGACGGCTTTCGTCGTACCACATTTGGGCGACGGACCGTTTTGGGCTTCGAGAATATGGCCCGAAGCAGATAAATGCAAAAACTATTGGTGGGCTAATATATTGGCAGTCAGCAACTTCATACCAGTCGAAAATCAAGTAAATTGAAAATTTGTATTTTGACGATTTAGAATTTAGATTATATTATAATATAATATTAGTTAATAGTAATTACCTATATATACAATGTGTTCTGCGAAGAGGTGACCGACCGGCCTCGTATAGGTATCTAAAGTTATATACCTTAAGTTCTGATAAAAACCTTTTTAAAGGGTGGGTCTATTTTTTATTTTTTTTCAGTTATGGGCAGTCAAACTTTTTTTTAAACAAACCGAACCTAGGTTTTGAATTAGCTATTTCACATTTGCTGATGTATCCTCCAAACTTTTAAACTTTTAATGGTAATTTTTTTTGATTAAATTATTTTCATTTCATGGTCGGTTTGAACTCAATATATTTAATACATAACTGTAGGTAAATGAAAATAAATTTTTGAGTGAATAAGAAGAACGATTTTCACTCACTTATTAGGTAACAAATTAAACTTTGCACACGTCATTTCAATATTTTTCAATTGCTGTAAGAACAACTTCGGACTTCGGATGGGTATTGTTTTACACTTTCAAAACTTAGGTATTGAAATGGAAAATATTATGAACTTTTAAATATAAATAATTTCAGATTTTTTGAAAATTTAAATTCCGCTATAAGGCAAAAAAAAAACAAAATAATTTTATGACAATAATGTTTGCAATAAAATTGAAATAAAAGTTATTCAAGCTGAACTAGATACATTTTTTTATTGCGTTTTAAGTAGTTAGACACCCTCTCCCTATTATAATAGACAATAGTACAGTCTTTCCGCTTACCTGTGTGGCTATATGTGTATAACGTGATGTCCATACATTGTTTAATATTAATTTTAAGAATAAATACTATTAATTGTAGAAAAATGTTTATCTCGATGTTCACAAAGTAAGAAAAAATGATTTTAAATTCTCTTTACTTTAGATATTTCCTGTTTAACGGTAAAAAACACCTCGTGCGTGTGTGTGTGTGTGTGTGTACGAGTGACATTCTAAAATTCACGGAAAATTTAAATCACTATATTTTTCCTTTCTTTTGCGTTTAACATTGCGTTTATTCATTCTGAAAATATGCTCTGCTCGAGCGTATTGTAATATTATACCTAGGTATACGTCGTACACGACAGATTCTTGAGTATATAATATATATATAATATATATAGTATATTAAACTTATATTGAATTATATATACGTCATACGCGTTTACATTGAGGAACCTACGACTTCGCCGTTCGCAGTTAGTAAAAGTTTTTCAATTTATTCAGAGCGTTTATTATACATGAACAGTTATAGGTGGAACTCTCTCGTGCCATTGTGAAATATATCACCCCCAGCACCGTGGGAGTGTACACCACAATATAATATTATTATAATATATATGGAACGCGTTTGCAGGGAATTGTACAATATTTAAATATACCGCCCGTTTACGATTGATTTTTAGAGTCTTGCCTCCATATCCATTGATTGGCGAAACTATATTGTATATAGATAGTGCACTTAGAAAGTTCGAACTTATAATAGACCCTCAACATTCAAATACGTATGGTACAGTACTTTACATTTTTCCAATGGTTGGCTAGCACATGTTGTGTACGAAACAAACGGATTATATTATAATAATATATTAGAGTATTACTAAGTAATGTTCACAATAGTCTTGTCAATCGTCTTTCGTCGCGTCTATATAACCCACTGCCCACCCAGCACCCTCCTATAGACATTTTTTTTTTGACCCCATCTATTGACCCTACATGGTTACTCAGTTACGTACACAGATATTTTCAATGGGGGAGTGGGGGGTGTATAAAAAATTATATAATTGTAATTTGTATACATTATACTCATCATGCAGCATCAATAGATCGAAATATTGTGTTGTTTCACAAAGATTTATTTTTATCATAATACGCAGGCTTGGGACTTCTATCACTCTTATATTAAAGAGTTAAATTTAAAATTTACTACAAGTGCTGTAATGGGCACAAAATAAAATGCATTTATGGTAATTTTCGTTTTGTTGTTACAGTGTCTCATTGCTGGCTGGTATGTATCGTGTCTGCTCCAGTTTCTCGTCATTGGGACCACTGTGGTTTACGTGTGCGTCAAACGCCGAAAAATTGGAATATACCTGGTTGTCATGCTCTTGTGTGCGTCTTTGGCGATATCGTTTGTTACAACCTACATCAACCAAGCTTACGGAATAGTTCGTGTCATGTATTCGTAAGTACTTACATAATATTATTATTAACTACTGAGAAACCCCCTTCAATTAATATTGAATTAGGTACCTATATAATAATTTTCAAAAAAATTATTCACTAAATAATTTGCAATAAATAATAAAAGTAATTATCAAAAAAAAAACCAAGTTTGTATCACCACAGTCCACAGCGTCCTCTCTTGAAGTAGTACAAAAAATCTCAATAATTTGAAAATATGGTTTTTTAATATATTTAAAAATTCCAAAATTCAGAATTCAAATCAATTATTAAATGAAAAAAAATGCAAATGAGTATGGTAGATGAACCACTCTGTACCGACATACTATATAGTATAATAATATTATATATAATTCTGTGTTTTTTTTTCACATAACTCGTCTTCAGGTTCTTGGAGAATCCAAGCAATTCAATGGAGTTCAGAAATTACTACCGACCGTTTTTCTATCGGGGTACACCTTTCTTCGCCGGAATACTTGCCGGAATCGTGGTGGAAGAGCTGAAAAAACGAAAAATTAAGTTTCCCTCGGTAATAACGAGTATATAATATTATTTTGTAGTGTCGCAGTTGCGTTAAGATTTTTAACCAATAAGTCAAATTATAGGGATTTATATGAAATCAGTAAAAATACTGTTCACGATTAACCGAAAATTAAATTTTATAAATTATATTGAGTACATTAGCTAAGTACATCATAACACTTTCAAATTTGTATAACCGTACCTCTATGCTTTATACTATATTTTATTGAATTTGTCAATACCTACTGATGGATTAATAATATGATTTATTATTTTTATTGAGGTTTAAAATTTAAATATAGGTATTAAACAATTTGCTAAGGAAAAAACAATAAACAAGTAACCTAAATAACCAATTATTTTTCATGATGAATTTTGTTTAAAATTCTGTTTCATTAATATATATATTTTTATTTTTTTATTGTACTTGAGCGGCTCAGGGAACTAGAGCCCGGCAACTATGGCCATTATAGCTATAATTGTAGGGGTTGGTATGGTTGATTGGCAACACGTGTATTTGTGGCTGCAAAGTTTTTGCCACTAATTACCAGGATGGTGGTGACCCATCCGCAGGAAGAACAAGTTGTAGCGGATGGTACGTACTCTCGTGACTGATTATTGCAGCCACCACGCCGCGCCAAGACACTGTTTCATCAATAATTACCTATAAACATACATAATATTTAAAATCATTGTTTTATACATCACCCGAGTTATATAATCATTGTAAATTCAATAAAATATTACTTACCTATAGGTATATTATATAATAATATGTTTTAAATGTATATGGGTTTGTATAGTGCATAGGTATCTAGGACATAGTTATACGTAGGTGAAATCTTTATAGACGTTTTAATGGTCGGTTAATCGCGTAGAGTTTCTTTTTCATCGCTTGAGATTAATATGTTTTCATGATATCACTTCACAGTCCGTCGTCTACGTCGGGACTCTGGTGGTCAGCGTCGTTTGCATTTGGGGCCAGCTGTACGGTGCAAGGTTCCACGACGTGTCCAGACCATACGACGTACTCGAACAGTCGGTGTACGCAGCTTTCAGCCACTGCACGTGGGCCATCATACTGTTCTGGTTGACGGTGTGTCATTTCACCACCGGTTTCGGTAAGTCGTGGTAACCGGGAATGATTTTTTTTTTTTTTTTAAATAAAGCTGAAACTTGTTAGAACACAACGTACACGTTAATATTATTGTCCACACCTGTTGCGTTTTCAGAGGCTTGTCGGTAAATGCGCAGTATGCCACAAATCAAATAGGAACGCGGCCTGACCAACACTCGAGTCTTGAACAATATATTATACTAACTCGAGAGTTATCCCAACCTTGTAGGACGCAACAATTTATTCGTTCATTCCTCTCTTCCATTTGATTATAAAATATATTGGTGTACAAGGCAAGTACCTATACGTGCAGTTCCCACCCGCAGCTTTAGACTTATGGCGAGGGTAGGCTGGTAACAGCTGGTGGTCGCTTATAGGGTTGCAGAATTTAAAATGTCGATTTGAAATATTATTACCATATTAATATATTGAGTAGGGCCGTTGCGATATAAGTGGGACAGGAAATTAAGCCTTCCGAGTGTTTTTTTCCGTTTGAGCCACACATAGGTGACATTATTTTTAATCTGTTGAAAAATTGGTGGTGCACCACGTAATTGTGCACTTTTATCTTTATATTTTCCTATGTATAAAAAAAAATACATATTATAATTTATGTATGAAATAAAAATTGAAGAAAAGGAAAATAATCCTGTATTTGGGGGAAAAAAAGTTGAATTTAAAATTATTGGATTGGTGCTCATTTTTACAGGTAAAAAGGTAAAACACGTGACATAATATCAGGTGTAAATACATAGATAATATTATATATTATAATAAATATCGACCGCCGAATGCAGGTATCGACTATCGGGCCATATATAATATATAGTGTATAAAATATTATGACAATATTATATTAGAATTAAAAAGGTATCCAAAACTTTAAAATGTACGATTAAAGTTTGCTCTGTGTTTATATAGGTTCAATAGAAAAATTGCTCAACAACAGATTAACAGTGCCACTGGGCAGATTATCCTATACAGTTTATCTTGTCAACATCACCGTCATGATGATGATAGAAAGTAAACAAAGAACGTCCGTAACCCCTTCGTCATATTTGTTGGTAAGTAAATATTTACACTAACCATGGTTTTAATATCGCTTTAAGAGTTTGAAGTTTGAATTGATGGGGGTTTATTTGACACACAGTATTAAAACGCAAATAACGATATAATATGATATTTTCGAATGGGATTAGAGGCTGCTATAACGTTAAAAATCTTGAAAATAAAAAATAACTGCACGTCGTTTTAAGCGTCAAAGTAAAATATTCGGTTAAAAGCTGAAACGAGTGAACCTACATAATATGCAAAGACAAATATAATACACCTACTATTGTACGTTATAACATAATACAGAGTATAGGTACTTTGAGTTAAACGAGTTGTAAATAATTTATTATAAGTATTCATTGATTAAAAATTTAGTACCTAGTCGCAAACGTAATATTATTATTGTACTTGTCTAACCACTAAAGTCAGTCGCGAGCTACCTTATCAGAGTAACTCAGTAACCGAAAAGTGCCAACTTTAGCTTGACTCGGTGGAAACGTGAACGGCCAGTCTATCCGTAAAAGGTCTCTAATTATTTTCCGTTGACCCCCAGTGGTGGGCCAAAAGCCGTTCTCTTACAAATGATAAGGGGAAAAAAAAAATAATAATCTCATACCAACATTACCAACCGATAAAAATGTCAATGTTCAAAATAATAATTTAATATCAGTTTTAGGGCCAGCCTGTAGTAAATGTACTTTTTTATTAATGTATTAACTTAGATCATATACTAGAATACTAGTATATGATCTAAGTGTATTAATGTATCAATTGTATCATCTTTATTATCTATGGTATTAATGTACTTTTCTCTAACACCTGTTGATTAATCTAATGAGTAATTAGGATTAATTAATTAAAATTAAAATTCAACCGCCAAATTACAAAAAAATGGCGAAACAGAAATCCAATACTTATATCTATAATAATGACTAACGACCACGATTAAAGTTATCTTTAATCGTGCTAATAACTAATGAGATATTATTATAATTATTTGGGACTTGGGTTTATTTTTGAACTTATAAATAAACTATAGAGTATTTTTAAACGCATAAACAAGATTATTCCAATACAACAATAATAACTGAACATTGCATGAATGATGAATGTTTTGTGGCATTTCATACCAATTATGACACTAATTAACAGTTATAACATTTAAATAATATTATGTCTTGCATTAAATAATATCTTTATAGAAAAATTATACAATATTGCAATTATTGCATTATTGTTACTTACTGCTTAGTAGTTAGTACTTTGTAATATTTTTATATGATCGAAACTTTAACAATAATAGAATTTATGATAATGTTGGTAATGTCTTTATGGTACATAATGGTACAGGGAATTTATGTTTTAGTATTGGTAAACATGATCCGATAAATTTTTTCTTTTTTTTTCCGAGTTCTTATCAGCTGTAAGAGAACGGCTACACACTCCCCAGTGGTCCTGCAGAGCCCAGGCGGTCCCATAAGGAGCAATAGCTTCAAAAAGAAAATATTTAATATTGCTTACACAGATATTACTAATTTATATTATATTAACGTAAAATTGTCAAACTATAATAACAACTCAAGTCAATTATTTTTCACTGAATTTACCACGTTTGAAAATTTGAATTATATAATTTACAATCGATTGTATTTTTATAAGCCGATTATGTGACGTTTCAGATTGATGGATGGATTTTCGGAGCATTTAGAACGTACATGGTGGGTACTATGCTGTATTTGCTCATCGAAGCACCGTCAGGGCTGTTGATCAAACAATTATTGTTCGGAAAGTGAGTTTCTATAAATTATAATGAGTTTACTGTTAGTTGCATAATATATAACTTATACATCGCACCTTAAAAAAATATTCGCATTCTTATTATTAAGCGTCTCTACGTCTTCACATTCCTTATATACTATGGTCATTAGTTTTTAATATGCCATTTTGCAGGAAACACGAACACGATGGGTCTGTGATGACGCCAAATCGGACGGACTTCGGCAACAAAGCGTCTGAAGAAACGGAACAAAAAAACACTTCACGTCTGTAGCAAACGAGTATCAATTTATTTTTGGATCACTCCGTTGACCGTTTTGAACAGACTGTACAGACTTGTAATATAATATTATTTTCTAGTATAATATATTTCCTACACACAAGGTGTCTCAATATACCTACCTACTAAGTTAGGTATTGAGTATGTCCCCACGATTTTTATTCAATAACTAATATTTTTCTTATATATATGGATAAGAGTGTATACGATTTCGGAAAATCTTATCGATATATCAAGCGCATGTCACAGAGTAATAGTCACAATATTATAACAAAATATATTGTAAGACTTCACTCTGTTCGCCTAAACTCGATACAATTAATATTTTAATCTCTTGTTTTCGTATCTGTTAAAATATGTCTTATAATATAGCACTGATAATGTTTGCTTTTAAAATGTAATATTTTTATTTGGTAGAACTATAACTTCTGTGAGTTCCTATTCAAAATCTATCTAATTAATAATTTCCTCAAGTATTCGAGTAAATATATATATTATTAAAGAGGATAATCACTTATTATTGAGACACCGTGTACTATAGGTAATTTGTATAATAAAATATTTATGTATATATAAAAGAGTTGTATATTGTTAGTAGTTATTGTATAAAATCTTTAAATATGTGTTGTTTTCGTGATTTTTTTACGATATCTCATTATATATAAGTACTATAAACACTAAGCAGTATAATAAAATTGAAAATAAATATTTCGTCTTTTTCATCTAGCCAAAGCTTCTCACCCATCGAATAAGTAATTATTTTGTTATTAAAGTGCAACGGTAATGATTTTTAAGGTGTAATTTTGATGAAACAACCGTAAAAGACATATAATAAGATAATCAAATAATTTTGAGATAGGTACCGGGTAATTACCAGTGATGCCCCCCCCCCCCCTCGGTATACTGCTTTTGTCCTTTGCGGGTAATAATGACATGTGTTATACCGAATAATAAACTAGCAATAACAATTTTACGGGTCCAGTAGACGGCGTAGTCTGATCATATTTTATTATACTGAGCTCGTAAATTTAGTAACACAACCTTCACATGTCACATCATCATCATCAACAACAAAAACAACAACAACAACAACAACAATAATAATAACAATAAACTATTCGACTTAGTAGGACTTACTCTCACAAGTCCGTTTGTGCAACGACCCGTGTTTTGGCCCTCCGTGTAATCGCGGATGACTGATCGCGGATCTATTCAAGATTGTAATTGTTTTGTTGGACGATTTTTTAGGAGTCTGGAAGTCAAACGTTCCGGGTGTAACACAAAGAACTGTCAAATTTAATCAATTACTCTGATAAAAAATTTAAAAACATTGATTAGAACAAAAGTTACCTATTACATGGTCGATTATGACAATTATTATTTCTGTAACACATAACGTAGGTACTTATATGTATAGGTATACACTATACAGTGTGATTCTGTTATTTTAACCACCTATACACTCAATATTTCTTGGACTACTGGTTTTTCGTTTCAGGAAATTGTGTTATTACGTAATTCTTTAAAAACCACATGAAAAAAAAATTAAAAACTCCTACATAATTTTATATTCTAAGCCGACCGATAAATGTACCGATTTTACAATGATGTAGGTTTTTTTAAATTTTAAATTATTTTTTTTGCGTCTGACATCACTATAGTTATTTGTGTTTGTGATTTGTTTTGATAATTTCATTGCTTTCATAATACCTATACGATTAGTTTCTAGAACACGTTTTTGCTTTTGGAAGTTTATCAGTTTCCTGATTTTTAATATTCCTTACATGCATTAAATGTTCTTAATACCTTTGTCACATTATATTATTTCTCCCATCAATTCATAATATATAAATTACGTCTATAGATTATTCCTTGCATTGCAGGATTTCTCAAGGATTTGTCAGAATACCATTAATTATTACAGATAGATCTGCCATAGCAGGTTTAACGATAAATTACTGTAACATCTACCATCGTCGTGAGTCGTGACCATTATTGGTAACTATATAATTGGTTAATATTCACCGCACGTTTGGACTATATTATTATGATATTATAGAATTTAACTTTACGCATACGTATACAATTTTAAGTTGAGTAACTATTTTTGAGGTTTTTAAATCATAACTTAAATAACTTATAAATCAATATTGAAATTTCGGGACAATCGAATCGACTCCCAATATTATAGGGAAATTCAAAACCTACCGTCTAATTTAATCCTAAAATTGAAAAATAATAATATCATATAACAAATTGTTCTCGAAAAACCACTGTACAATCACCGACAATTTATTTTTAAAAGAATAAAAGTATTGCTATTAAATTGTTATAATATTCGTAGGTACAATCTATATACAAGAAGATGTCGCGTGGTTCTGTGTTCAGAAAATGCATAATTATTGCTTAATAATTCGAAGGAAATTATTATTCTTATCATACTATAATATACTATATGTGGAACGTGAGTAATATTGAGTGCAATCACAAAAATGCTCAGAAAAAATGGGTAAAATGATTAATTCTTTTTTTTTATTCATAATATATCGTCGATTACTAAATGCTAACACTTCTTTCAAAAAAAAAATTGGTTGTTCTAAATAAATAAATAAACGATTTACAAGTTATACATTATACACTTAATGGAACGTTTTCTGGCGTTCTCTAACACTTCTGTAGTATTATACTCGGCGTGGTAGGTACAAACTATATAAAGTGCTAGACGAACAACTACCAAGGATACCTATATTTAATAACCATATTGTATGAACTATATGAATGGCATAATATACGTATATAATGGGTTAGATACTTGGATGGGTAGCGATTAATGACCTCGTTTGATCCGTCATGTAGGTACAAATAATGATAAATCGAGGTAGCTTTTCTTGTTAAAGTACTCTGCTCCGTGATATCATGAAATTCAAAACATAGATTGCTAAAGATATATTCAAAAAACCAAAAGATTAAAGTGTGGGTTTTCACGGACTCATAATGCGGTGAAAATGGTTGTAGAAACTGAAAATACCTACCTAATTGTTTTAAATCTTAATTTTTTTTCAAAAATGACTAATTTCGAGTTCAGTTAATAACAATACATTTAGACACTCTTCAGAGTTGATGGATCGGTTGTAAAATAATCAACCTAATACCGTATATTATAATACCCATATGGGGGACGAGGTGGCCGAGCGGTCTAACGCGTCGGCTGCGGCGCTGCCGGTCGCGGTTCGATTCTCGACCACCGGGTGGCATTTTTCTCCGGGTAAGTCAAGGTGTCCGGAGAACAAGTGCCGCCATCCCCCACTCCGGGGCATGACAGAAACCTACGGGTGCCCCATTCGAAATTCTGCCAAAAAATACACCAAAGTGTAGCACACCTATACCGTTCCAAAACCTACAGTACCACCCCCTCCCAATGGCCTAAGTTGCAGCGGGATAATTAATAAAGAAAAAAAAATACCTATATGACATTTTATTTTTCTGAAAAATTCAAATTAGAATCGATCAGAAGTGTTAGTTAATTAGTTACAAGTGTACCTATAAGGTTTAGAATATTAGTGGAGAAGTGCCTTAATGTTTTGAGTGGTACCCACATGTATGGCACTCAACTCCGACTCATTTAAACTTTAAATACTTATAAGTTATAGTTACCTATAACATTTGTAGATTATATCTTTTATATAGACATAACTAATAGAGAATTGGTTCAAAATTGGATTTTTATACATCGAAATTCTCAAAATAATATTGTACTTATTATAGGTATTTTAAACGAAAAATGTATGGAGTTCTTCAAAAAAATTTTAACTTAAAATAACGATAGAAAAAAGGTAAAATTAAGGTTTTTCAAAAATATTTTTTAAGGCCATTATTTGAGGAGCAACATTTAGGCAATTTCTAATCTTGTCATAAACGCCCGGAATCTGTGTGTTAGTTATAAATGATTATTAGTGTGAGTGAAATTTAATGCTGGTATCGACGGAAACCTCTTGTCATGCACATGTCAATAACCATATAAATTTCTCTACTCGAATTTTACAAAAATATACATATTTTGTTATAACAAAATTAAAGTTAGTTAACGTTGTCTGATTTTGATTCTGAAAAAATATTTAAATTCAGCAGAAAAATATCTATAGATCGTACCAAACATTTTCCGTTTTTAATATTAATTTTAATTTTAATTATGATTCGAAAAAGTTCATATTTTCAAGTTTTCAATCACAGTTCACAATAATATAAAATTTAGTTTTTACAAAGTGCTTCTTAGGATCTATAGACAATTTTCAGGTGAGTTAACATTTTTTTTCCGAATCAAAATCGGACAACGTTTACTGACTTTAATTTTGTCAATACTTTAGGTCTTTTCAGCTAAAATTGAGCGGCATTAGCGAGGCCCCTTAACTATTGTTGTTTTATATGATTTATAACCCAATTGAAATTATGAAAAAAAAATCAAGATAATGAGAGTTTGCTGTTAAAATAATCACTCTGTATACCTGTATAGTGATATATATAATATAATACGTCTTATATTCCTACCATAGTACCATACACGTTACATTGTGGTTGTTAAAATAATATATTATTACGTTTCGCTGAAATTCTCTGTATAACATAATTCATGTATATTATATTATAATGATATGTATATATTTTCCGAACAACAATAATATAATGTATTATATTATGTAAATGTAAATTGTAAATGTATGTGCGCGGAATTTGAATAAAAATTATATTTTAGTTTCGCTCCGGGGTAGTTTCCGTTTTAAAAATTTGTAATTACCGAAGTGCAGGTTTGCTCGTGTCAAAATTATATAATAATATAATATTATAATCATATATAAAAAAAAAAAAAAAACTTTGTTCCAGTTTTGTTTAACTGCAGTATATTATGCAAATATTGTGTTCGTCAAATTTCTATAATTATATATAGTACACACATATATATATATATATTATATTTGATTGTTTTGTCGTACACACAT